AAAGCTCTCAGTTTTTTTTTTTTTCTTTTTTTTTTTTTGTCTTTTTTCCGTGTCTGGCAACGGATCGCAACCCTCAGTGTTGCCCCCGTACCGGACCGGGGACCGGCGACGGGATCGCAAGCCTCGGCGTTGCTCCCGCGCCCCGCTCAGCCAGTGAGCGGGAGCCGGTCTGTACGTGGGATCCGAACCCTCAGACGGGAGCGCCGCCGCGCTTCCCAAGCGGGCGCACTATCCAGTGCGCCATAATAAAGCTCTCAGAACCATGCTCCTGAGCACCATTATTAACCCACTCACTACAGCACGGTCCTACATTCTAATCACCTCTTCAAGGCCCCGCTTTTCAACCACCACAATAGGATTTCCTACCCTCTGAACACTGTCACAGTGGGGACCAAACACATTAATGTTAACAATAAACTTGGTGGGGGCACAATTCAATCCATAATAGTGTGATAACCTAAAATTAAGGCAACTTATAGGGAAAGGACTCAGTTCGGGAGTCTAAGGAGTTTCTAGCCACCACTTCTTAACATATATAACCAACCTTGGGCAAGCTGTTTAGCCTCTCTGGATTTCAGTTTACTCATCCATAAAATAGGAGGGATATCAGTATCTACCTCGTAGGGTGAAGGAGTGAAATAACTTGTGTAAAATGTTCTGTGCAGTACCTGGCACAGAGTCAACCCCATTAAACGGTGGCCATCATTTTTTTCTTTTCTTTTTTTGCGTTTGGGTGTCTCCCTTTTCACGTTGCTTTTCTTCCACTTCCTTTTCTCCATGAGAATAAGTATGTTTTAAAGTCCATTTTTCTGAGGAAATGTGACTAATTTTTAAAGGACAAAGCAGTGAAAGGGGGTTGAGATCATGGAAGGGCACGAAGGGAGGAAAAGACAGGGAGAAGAAAGAACGCTGGTGGTGGAGAGTAGTAGGTGGGACCAGCAGAGACGGCTTGGAGGCTTGGAGTGGAGACGTAGGTAATGGCCCGGCTGGGAGCGGGAACGGATTTGAGTCGGTGGGGCTGAGAAAGAGTAATATCCCAACAAGGGAGCTACGCCTGAAATAAAGGGTGTAGCGACGGCTAGCTGGGCGAGAGAGGCAGAAGAAGCGTGGCCGACACCGGTGGCCAAAGACAGGGCGGGGCCGGAGTTGAGGGGGGCTTGGTGGGTGGGGCCAGGGCTACGCGGAGGCGGGGCGGGGGCGGGGCTCCAGGACCCGGCAGGGGGCGGGGCGAGTCATAGGCTCGGTACCGGGAAGGGGCGTGGCCAAGGGGGGA